CAACTACTAAAGTGTGAGCATCCATCGTGAGATTTAAATGTGATTTCAAGTTTATTCACCAAGAGAATATGTCAGTAAACTGGTCCTATATGTCTACATTTGCCATTCTTGAAGTAAATGCTCTAAGGGTGAAGAAGTGTTTCAACGTTTTGACCATTGGGCAATTCTATGAAAGGTTGGTAGTCTGTAAGGGAGAAATTAAAAGAAGAATCAACTGCCTGTCAGTTTGTCCCTCAATGTGTTAACATAGTGATTCAATACATCAGACTCTTCAATTTTAAAAGCAGCTGGGTGAGTCTGGAATCAGACCAATTTCCCTCCACTTCTCTCATACTGATTTCCTGTGTACTGCCATGTTACAAGTCACCTTGCTATAACATTAAGGTATTTGTCATCAATTTTAAATGCAGTTATGTCATCCAGGATTTCAAACTGTGTCTCTTTAGATTTTAAAATGGCAAATCAAGTCATCAAAGAAAACAGAACCTTGCATGCTGGTCTTGATCAAAATTCAGAGGAAACTTATTTCAGAGCACATGTAAATGCTCATTATCACAGTTTTATGACTGAAGTAAATCCTTTTACACCCACTTGGACTTATAGGAAAAGGTAGATTTTTTGTAACCTTGAATATTACAGGGTATTTCATACATTTTATGGACTGGGCCTGTAGTTTCTTAATGCATGGTTTCACTATTTTGGAATAAGTTGCTGCATGATGAATTATTTTTCTGCATTTTTGATTATGTACTGAAATGGGAAAAGGATTGTTTTAAATCAAAATATTATGAAAGGAATTGCTGCATTTTAAAAAAACAATTCACTGAAATGCTTTGTAAATCATGTTTACACTGCTGCTGCATTCAAGCAGTGGACGAAGCTGTCTGTAGATGTGCCAACACCACCAGAAGTGTACAGTGTAAGGTTTGGCTAGCAACAGTTTACTGATTGCTTTGTGTAGTTGTGACCAATTGTGGATGACCAAGGCCATCAATGTGACAACTATCTGGTTCCCGTGCAGCTGAACAGCTTGTGGGCGTGCACAGTACTGGCAGAAGTCTTGGAACTACTACGAGGGCCAGATGGGTGTTAGTATCAATTAGTAGTTATATGTTGACAATTTATTATTGTTTAACCGTGGTTAGAACCTATTTATCTGTTGTAAAAAATAGTTCTTGTTAAGTACAGAAACGGGTCTGTGTTTTCTGTTTGCCTGGGTGTCTCTGACAGGTATATTGGGGACTTTGTGTACTTTGATTAAAACTATTTAGCTTTTGTAATGACTCTGGGAAGTGGAGCACGATTTCCAGTGAGTCACCCCAGTGAGGTGCGACAATCTTGTCATGTTACTATTTATGAATATCTTTGATATTTTTATATAATATTCTAACCGTATTCATTTAATTAGATCTGCTGTTTCCCTGCAATGACTTTATGAAGCCTGAACAATTTCAGCATTTTGTGAAAAAGCGATTTAAGCATAGCATGGAAAGAGGGTTTAGTTTTCTTAAGACAAAAAGACAAACATATAGATGACAAAAAGTAATGCTAATAAAGAAGTAGCAGATGGCAAACAAAGAGATAGGGTTTATTCACCTTCATGGTCACTTTACTCTATTGTAGGACCTTATGACCCTTCACCCTACTTCTTTGATGTCATTCCGTTTTGAGAGAACAAAGGTTAGGTCTATAGCTAGCATTTAAAAACTTAATTAATATTGTAAGGGTATGAAAAAATAGAAATATATTGCTGTTCCTTCATTATCACCAGGTTCCAATCCTAGAGACTACCCATAACAGTACTAACACAACAGGGCCTGCAGTAGCAGCATTTCTCTCTTAAAATGGCACTCGATTGCAAGCACTCTAATTTTTGCTATTTGCTGTAAGGCCACCAGGACAGTTTTGCTTGAAGATTGCTTAATTTTATACTTCTGCTAATACACCCTTAACAAGTAGTTTGAGAAATGTCTTTTTGCTTTTGAACGTCCCATGGATTTTTGAGCATTATGTCAGTGTGCCACATATTGTATAGTTTCTTAATACAAAAATATTTGTACATGAAAGGGAACACTTGGAGGAACTACTGTCATTTAGTGAGGAAAATTCTAGGGAAGGTGAGGATTTGTTTAGAAGGATCAGCCAGACCAAAAATCTATGGCAGGGCCTTGTTTAACCTGTTTGTTTCACTCAAGTTCCACCATTCTTTCCACATTATCAGTTCTCATTTCATTATTTGTCACTCCTTTGACTCTGCAGTGATACAACTGAACCAACTGTGTTATCTTGATGATGAACCTATACTTTGGACAAAAGTTTCAAATTTACTCAGAAGTAATAATCCATCATGTACTTCAAAGACCATAAAGTGCTTTGGGGAGCCCTAAGATTGTGAGGGGTTCCATTTTAATGCAACGGATTCATTCATTGTTTTAAAAAAACTAATTCTGCTACTCCTGCAGATATTCCCAATAACTTTAACATAAATACATAAGGCTCAAGTGAAGAAGCCTGAGATGTTGGCAATCAGCAACTTCTGGGAGCTCGGGCAATAGCAGACCAGACCCTAATAGGTTGCAGCACATTGGCTTCTGGTGCCATATTTCTGGCAGCACGATGGGCAACAGTTCAGGGCTGATGTGGGAGCAAACATGCTGGTTACCCACTGGAGAACATAATGTGTTAATGTCATTATGCTTGTAACATATTTTTAATGCGAAGGCCAGTGGAGATGGTCACAATTTGGGATAGACTGCAGAGTGCTGATACCCTGTGACAGAATGCCGTACAAACTTTCAGCCATGGTGCAACAATTCCTTAACAACCTTATTAATATATTTTACAATTGCATGAGTGCCAAAAGGAGCTTGCTTTAGAAGACTGGTGCTAGAGGTTAGTTTCTACTTCTAAGGGAAGATTTCTGCCTTTCACTTGCTGCTACTAAATTTGCCCTAGGTGCTGTTTCAAAAGCAGCCGCTGTTAAGGCACTCTGTGCCTACAGTGATGATCCCTGTGGGATGCGTGGGGACAATGGAGTGCACGACAATGCTTCTGAAATAACTACTTTCCTGCATCAGGTGCACAGCAGGGGAAATAGGTGATGAATGGTGCTGACAATAGCTGATGGCTAACTACCCTATGCAACTTTGTTGTCAAGCTGGTTATACAACTGCTTGAATGTAGTAAGCATAATGTTCCAGTATTAGGAAAATACCAAATCAGTGTTGCTGCAGCCTTGTTCTTGATGGACCTGTGATCTCTAGGGCTGTTTTCTCCTCCTCATCAAGGGCTTTGATATTAGCTAGCCATCCCTGAGTATTGCTGCTTGTAACACATTTGTTTCCTGCAGAAACAGAAGGATATGGTGAGATGGGAAAGATTTAAGAAGGATCTGAGGGGTAACTTCTTCACACAGAGAGTGGTACGTAAATGGAATGGGCTGCCAGAGAAAGTGGTTGAGGCAGGTACAGTAGCATCATTTAAAAAACATTTGGACAGGTACATGGATGGCAAGACGTTAGAGGGATATGGAACAAATGCAGGCAATTGGAACTAGTTGAGTGGGCACCATGGTCAGCATGGAGCAGTTTGGGCCAAAGGGCTTGTTTCCATGCTGTATTACTCTGTTTATTAAGAGTGTATTGCAAAGTGGTGTTTATAATTATCTGATGATAGGGACCAAAGGGAGATTTTTAATAGGAGAGCTTGCTGTTCAATGGAAAGAAAATGCTGGACTGTGAAGTCAGAACAGTCATCAAAGAAGTTTTGCAATTGCTACCAGGTCAGAACAGAATGATTTTTGCAACTGTTGTATGAGTATGATTAGACTGAGAACTAAAGACAGTGCAATGTCATCTTGCTTTTGGTGAAGAAGGATGTGGTGCGGGGAGGAAAGTGTTTGGAATTCTGAGGGAGTGGGAAAGTGTATAGCAGAGAAATTGATCTCAAAAGAGAGGGGCCTTGCGAGTATCGTCTTTCATTCCTACTTTTCCTGGTTCATCAGGTTTGCTCTGCATAACAGCAGGATACACCCTAGGTTCTCTAACAAAGCAAAATTGACAACAAAACAATGCAAATAAAAACTTATTCACACAATGCTCACAAACATAACATTTTACGTGGACTTCTCTGCGGATCAGATCAAAACAGATGATCAAACTGTATTCAAACTCTGATACTGTCCAGTCTTCAGCAATTTGATCAGTTTGACCACTAACGAATGTCACAAACGTGTCGTGTTTCCTATGGCTGGTTTAATCATTTAACTGATTAGACTTCTTAAAAAATTTTACATGAATAGTTTAGTGCCTTAGAAACAAAGGAGAAAAGAAAAATGGGCTGTTGACTAGCAACGAAGTGTCTTATGACATAGAGCGGCAAAGACAAATCAATTTATTTTGGGGAAACAAATGGAACAATCCAGGTTCGTGGATATGTAGATTTCTTTCGGGGAAAGAGAAATGGCCTGTAAAAGCAGCAATGTTGTTTAGCAGTCTTCAAAACAGGGTAGAAAAAAGATGTCTGGGTGACTTAATGTGAGTGAGAGAAAAGTAGACCACAAAAATTGTGTAAATTAATGTTTCCTTGTGTCACTTATGGTTCATTTGTCAATCACCTTAAATCTAGAAACTAACCCTCCTCCTGGAAACAGTTATTCCTTATTTACCAATTCATATTCTGCAGTTTCAGGGAATTAACATTGATTTTACATAGGCTTCACATTTCTGAAGGAGCTGGGATCAGAATCCTGGCTAGAAATGTGAAACTTGTTATTAATGGAAAAAGGAGCAAAGTGGCAATCTGAATGTGATACCACTCCTCAGAATATGCAGGCCTTTGTGTCAGTGGTTAACTGTTAGGGCTGAATCACTGCTTCAATGTCAGCACCCTGTCTTTGGATTACATTTTTGGAAGCATGATTCTGTGCTGGTTTCTGAAATCGGTGTAATTGTGGCAAAACACTAACTATTTTCTTTAAATGTCTATTCTCTTTCCAACAGATTCTTTGCTGGGATGAAAAGGCGTTCTATGTCGAGCAGGAGTTCATCTCCTGCAAGGACAGCTTTGTTTGTGCCACCATGCTGTGTCGACAGCATGTGTTGTACAGTACTCCAGAAAAGTTGCTGCAGACCCTATGTAAGAGGAAGGTGGAATGTCCAGATTTTCCTGAAGAACTACAGCTGTGGATCAAATATAACCTTGCCAGCAGTGCAAAGCTGAAAGCATAAAGGAATTTCAGCACCAGGACCAACAGCCCTGGGCAAACTATTCAAGAACACTGGAGATCCATGTGATATTAGCAATGGTGTGTCACTGGAATTTAAACATTCAGCTTGGTGCTTTATTTTGTTTGAGCCCCTCATCAAATATTTATTTTGTGTTTCAAGGAAATATTTATAATTATTGTTACGAGCTTTACAGTATAAATCAATGGCACAAGATAGTACATTCCTTAGAACCTGTAATGTTAATATATTGCTCTTGTGAGATCCTTATTATTGGGGAAAAAAACAAATACACAGCTAACTTTGGGAAATACTATTCATCATCTTCTGGATGTTTGATGGAGATCTTTGTCAATGTATATCTTTGTCAATGTATATTAAAATAACTACATTCGTAAGTCTTAGCTCAAAGTTCAGACTAATCATTTTCATGATGCCTGTCACAAATAATGTTCCATTCCCAAAATGTTCATACCTGAACCAGTCTCATTTCAAGTGATAAGGAAGGGGTTTGCTGGCTACCTAATTCTGGCCTGAATAAACCACCATGTCTGATGCACTTTCTGATTTAATGTACAGGCAAACCTTTAAATGATCACCCAGTACTTCCAAGTAAAACAGGTGAGTGATTGTTTCGATGAGCAAGTCAAATTTGTAGGACCCAGATGTAATTTTAATGCACAACGTAGGTTCTCATTGCATTGTATCAGACAGAGTTAGGACTAATCAGCAACATCTCTTAAATGAATCAGTGAAGAATGCTCAAGAAAAAGAAAAGCCTTCAGTTTCCATATTAAAGAAAAATGATTTTCAGGGGCCAGCAGAAACAAGGCCAAGATAAAATCTGTCCTTCCTGCAGAGGTTATCCATTTTGATTACAGGAGACAATGACATTTGTGACAGTTCAGGATCGTGGGTACAATTCACCATATGATTTATGGAAAACAGAAGCTAAGTTTCGTCACTATTAACCTCAGAGGTTTAATTAGATTATACCACTGCACAACAGTAATGAAAATAAATAAATTATTTTCTTCATCTTATTCTAAGTGCAGCAAGATGTCTTCCTTGTGGGTCAAGATAGGAATAATGTAGAGAAGACTGCACAGGAGCCATGAAACTGCACCAAACAACACCCAGGGTTATTCAGTTCTTCACTTTAATCCACCACCTCAGGTAATCCAGGTAGTTTTAGCAATAGCACAGAAATACATCACTTACAATAAGCATCTGATGGATTACTACTGAACAGAAATTTAGCTGGGCCATATAAAACATGGCAGCTACAAGAGCAGATCAGAGATTACGAATCCTCAATTCCTGAACTCCCAATGCCTACCCGTCATCTACAAGACAGGTTAGGAATATGATGGAATACTCTATTTGACTGGATAGGTATAGCTCCAACAACACTCAAGAAGTTTAACATCATTAATAACAAATGGCCTGCTTCATTGATATCCCATCCACCACCTTCAACATCCAGACCCTTCACCACTTATGCTCAATAACAGTAGTGGGTACCATCAATAAGATACAATGCACCAACTTGGCCAAGCTCCTTGGCATCTTCCATAACCGCAACTCATCACTAAGAAGAAAACGGGGCCAGAGAATGCATGAAACTCCACAATTAGCAATTTCCCCTCCACATCATACACCATCCTGACTTGAAATTATATCGTGTTTCTTCACTGTCCTGGATCTCTCTTTGTAACAGCACGCTGGGTGCACCTGCAGGGTTTGACTGCAGCAGTTTGAAAAAGCAGCCTGCCACTGCCACCACCAACACCTTCTGAAGAGCAATTAGAGATGGAAAAATGAGTAATGGCCTAGACAGCAATGCCCACAACACGTACCTAATAAGTGAGCAAAGTGAATGGTGGGGCAAGCCAAAGAGGTGGTTCAGCCTCCGGGTTAATGGGGCTTGGAAAAAATTTTCAAAGGAGCGTGTTTGAGCAACCATCACATTTCGGTGCAGAAACTAGGCCATTGTCGAGTTTGTTCAGTGACTGAAAAAAAACATAGTTTTGTAATAATTGAAAGGACATCTAGCCTGTCCTGTCACTATTGGCTCTCTGCAAGATTGGCTGAGTTCTTCCCACCCTCCTCACCTTTTCCCCATAGTTCTGCAAATACTCTCTCTTCAGATGATAAATCAATTTGAAAGCCATGACTGAATTCGCTCCTGCTGTACTCTAAGACAATGCATTCCAGATCCCAACCACTTACTGTATAAACTAAAGTTTTCCAATATTTTGACATTCTGTTAATCGGAATAGTTAATCTGGATCTACACTGTTCTGGCTATTGTGTTGTGTCTTACAGCTGGTATGTAAGTATACCTTTAACAGACATGCTCTAGATATCATCACTATCACAGCATGTGACCTGAGAGTACAAAGGTCTCAAACTCCACCTCAACTCTGGACACTTGAAGCATGATGTGCTGATGGAAGCATGCTGCTCTTTGCAAATGAAGAGTTTAATGTTAGCAAAGACATGAATCTGCCTGTGAATGTAATATTTATGTACGTTAGTGTGCTGTAATAAATATCTGTTGAATCTTTAAATACTATATTACCTATTTCCTTGTTTCTTATGAAGGATAATATAAGCATTGCTGCATCATGTATAGATATCCTTGAGGCAAATCTACATCATTCGCCCTTCATTATTTTGAACATCCGTATAAAATTTCCTCTCAAACTATTCATATTGAAGGAGAACAGTCCCAATCGCCCAAATTATTCTCCGTAACTGATTTCTCTCAAACCCCGGAACCATTTTCAGAAGTAATCTTTGCACCAACTTCAATTCCTTCACATCTTTCCAAAAGTGTGGTCGTTAGAATTGGATACAATGCTCCAGTTGAGGCCGTCAATGTTTTATAAAGTGCATGAAACTGTCTTGCTTTTGTACTCTAATTCTCAAATTATAAAGCCCAGGATCCCATATGACTTAACCACTTTCTCAATCTGTTGTGTGACCTTTAATAATCTGTACATAGTTACCCCAAGTTTCTTCACTTGCATTCCCACTTTATTTTATATTGCTTTTCCTCATTCTTCTTAGCATAATGTATCACTTTACACTTCCCTTCCTTAAATGTAATCTGATGCTTCTATATTCAATCCACCAGCTATTCCATGTTTTCCTGAAGTCTATCACTTATCACCCTCACAGTTTGCAATATTTCCAAGTCGTGTCATCTACAAATTATGAAATTGTGCCCTGCATACACAAATTTCATGGTATCACTGGCTGAGCCAGCATGCATTGCCCATTCTTAGATGCCCTTCAGAAAGTGGTGGTGAACTGTCTTCTTGATCCGCTGCAGTCCTGATAATGGTCCCTGGGAAACTCCACCTTCCTCCAGTCCAAAAGCAATTATTCAGCATACTCTGTTGTCTTCATTCAGCCAATTTTATATTCTTGCTGCCACCATGTCTCCAGTCCATGGATTTTTGAAAGCTTTCCTGCTGCCAAGGTTAAGCTGACTGGTAGTGTTCCTGGGTTTATCCTTCTATCTATTTTGAACAAGAGTGTAATATTTCCAATTTTCCTGTTTTCTGCTCCTGTATCTACTAGAGAATTGAAAGACTCTGGCCAATGCATATGCAATTTCCATCCATACTTTCCTGAGTAACACAGGATGTATCTGATCTGGTCTTGGTGACTTGTCGCATTAAGTACAGACAGTCTATATTATGGATCTGCTTTGTAACTTTTCAGCCTACCTAGTGTCTTGATTACCTCCAGTTTCACTGTGACTTTGGCAGCATCTTCTTCCTTGATAAAGATTGATACAGGGTATTCATTTAGCATCGCAGTCATACTGCCCACCTTGATGTTCCTTCTCTGATCCCTTATTGCTCCTATTTCTCCTTTCACTGCCTCTTTATCATTTATTCCCTGGTAGATGATTCTAGGACTTGCTTTTACATTATCTGCCAATCCCTTGTCATTTATTACCACACACATTAATTTTCTGTTTCAGCTTATTCTCAGGAGTATTTGTTTGTTGAGCTAGGATGACTCCAGAGCCATTTAAAAATAGCAAACAGAAAAGAACATTCCTTATTCGATTTCTTTTGCTCTCAGTAGTTTGACATTTGTCATTGCTGGATCACTCATTTGTCATGTATATAGTGGGTAAAGGGGCATGAGATGGCAGAGTATGAAGGAGCATTGGGGAGTGGCTGGCAGGCATGAGGTGTCATGAAGAGTGTGAAGGGCCAATGGGGATGGATGCAAGGTGAAGTGATGTGAGGAATGAGGGCTAGTGGGTAGCTGCTTTTATTACAACCATGACAAAATCCCACCTTGCCCATCTCAACACTTGACTGCCCCACAGTTGACTAAAATCTGCTTCACCTCAAACAAGAAGATTCTCTAACTAGCTGGAAAAGAGCACAAACACTCATATGGGGACTGGGAGACTGAAATATTCAACCAAACAGATGCAGTTTCATCCAGTCCCAAAGACCAAGGAATCTAAAGCTCTCCCTCCTGCACTATCTTTTCAGCTACATATTAATCTTCTCCATCATGCTATTTCTGGACTCACTAGCGTGTGGTACACAGAGTAATCTGGAGATGACTATCTCTGAATTCTTGTAATCGATTTCTATGATTACTAGCTATTAACCCTTCCTACCCAGAATGGTCTGCAGCCATTCATTGACATCCTTGACCTTGGCATCATGGAGGCAGCATACCATTCTGGGTTTACATCTACTGCTGCAGAAATGTATGATTGTGTCTACTACATGCTAACTTGCAGCCTTAGAGAAGAGTTTTTATTCATCTTTTTGTATGTGTCTGTATTCAGTACAATGTGTACTGAATTCAGTACAAGGATAATGTGTGTTGGAAACTTCCTCACTTGTGGCAACTCAAAAGCATGAAGTATTTTCAACTCCGGTATAATGTAGTTAAGAAATCCTTGTACAATGTGCCTTGAATTTCAATAGCAAGTTTTTATGGAAGGTCAAAAGGCCAAGTTTTCCATTAGATGATATTTTCATGCATCTCAAATGTAGAAATCTTTAACCAAGAATTGCTGAGCAGCATTTGAGAGAGTGACTAATGTTTGATTTAAAGTCTGGAACCAACTTGAAATGGTTACCTTTCCTTCTATTTCTGGCCTGCAAGTGATTGTAGGTATATAATACTGCTGTCAACACAAGTAGCTAAACAGCTAAAACGACGACATTCCAATATACCGGATAAAAATCATTTTGTAAGTTAGTTCATGGTTTCCTCCACTAGTAAACCTTGATAATACCTGTCGTCATGTTCAATGAAAACCGTTCTCAGAGGTAGACATCAAATGTTAAACTCTAAAATTTAAAGCTCAAATCACATAGGGACGGAATTCTACAGTGTAAGGCTTTCCTGCCTATATGAATTCAAAAGCCAAGATGATTGCACAGCTCCATTCAAAACACCACACATAATGTTGCAGATGTGCAGGAGGACCTGGACAACATTTGGGCACATCATAAGTACTTTAATTAATGACTACTGTCAACAAGAGAGGGTCTAACCATCTCGTTGTGACATTTCAACGTACTACAATTGTCAAATCACTCACCAACATCCTGAAATCATTACTGACCAAAGACCTAACTGGAACTAACCATTTACATACTGTCGTTCAACAGCCGCTGGAAATGAGCTGAGACTTTTTGTTCTTACAATAATTAATTGGAACGTTAGTATTAATCATTTCTAAAATTAATAGAATCAACTCTAGTTTTAAATGCCAGCTTGAACAGAAAACACATGGCATCTGTACAGCACATCTGTGTCACCAGTTGAGATTAGAACCAGAGATAAACACAAAAACTACTCTTATTCTGAAATATCTGCTCATCTGTCTCGGAGATCATTCAGTTCTTAATTATCAATCCTCCATCATTAGCACAGATTGTCTTGCTCTCAAATATTAACTCCATAATTATAACATATCAGTGAATGTGCAAATTATATTAAGACATATGTTAACTGCATACAACATGGATGTACCTGAGTTGCACTGTAACCCAATGTCTGTTGCAGCCGAAAATTGTGATAAATTACCAGATGAATTTTTCAACACTGGCTGAAAGTCTTTCAAAGCTTTCAATGGCATCTTCTGGGCCTTGTTTATCTTCATTTTGAATAACATTGATGCCTGCCTACAGCATAACCTGGGTAACATAGAAAATTGGGATACTAAGTGTCAACTAATGGTCAGTTTGAAGAAAAAACAGAAATTGCGCAGCTATGCCTACTGGCTTTCAACTTTATTTTTACCACCACACCCCTGACTGTCAACATCTTTATGATCAACACTGATAGAGGCATAAATAGCACCAGGCATGTCAAAAACACATCCGCAAGCTAGCACATGGCAGAAGCTGGGTACGGTGCATCTCATCTCTTGACCTGGCAAAGTATATACAAAGCTTAAGTTCTTAGTATTATGTAAAACCCATAACTTGTCTTGATGGGTAGCACTGAAATATCATTAAAAATGTTCAATACCATCCAGGTTGGAGCAGTTTGCTTGATTTTTACACCCGCACAGGGACTCATTATTTATCTCCTCCATTACAGGCACAATGTGGCTACAGTTGATCTTGTGGGGTCAGTTAATTAAATCGCTAGAGTAAGAAGCAGAATGACACCTATAGCATTCGTTCAATCCCCAAATTCACTGTGGCAATTCACGGAGACCAGCCTCTTGGCTTCATGTCAACTCACAGAATGGCTATTTTTAACCAAATTCCTCTTCTCCATTTCTAGTGGAGAGATGCCTGTGGTCCTTTGTGCATTATGGCTAATTATTACATACAAACTATAGGACACGTTGTGGCAATTCACCAATTCCTTGCACAGGAATTGGTTCTGGGTCCTCTTTCGTTTGTCATTTATACAGATGATTAGGATGACAATTTAGAAGGCACAGTAAGCACGTTTGGTGGCATTTTACGGAGTGAAGAAGGTTTTCTAAGATTACAAAGTGATCTTGATCAAATGGGTCAATAGGCTGAAAAATGGCAGATGGTATTCAATCTGGATAAATGCAAGGTTTTGCATTTTGTACAACAAACAAGGGTAGGGCTTATACATTTAATAGTAGGGCCTTGAGTAATGTTGTAAAACAGAGGGAGCTAGTGGTGCAGGTACATAATTCTTTGAAGTTTGCGTCACATATAGACAGGGTGGTTAAAAAGGTGTTTAGCACGCTTGCCTTTATTGCTCAGAACTTTTCAGTATAGGAGTTAGGAAGTCATGTTGAGGTTGTACAGGACATTGGTGAGGCCTCTTCTGGAGTACTGTGTCCAGTTCTGGTTGCCCAGCTATTGGAAGGATATTATTAGGCTGAAGAGGGTTCAAGAAGAGACTTACCAGGATGTTGCCAGGTATGGAAGGTTTGAGTTATAAAGAAAGGCTGGATAGGCTGGGACTGTTCTCACTGGAGTGTAGGAGGTTGACAGGGCGACCTGATAGAAGTTTATAAAATTATGAGACATATAGAGTTAATGGTAGTTGTATTTTTCCTAGGATAGGGGATTTCAAGACTAGGGGGCACAAGGTGAGAGTACAGAGACTTAAAAGACACGAAAGGCAATTTTTTTTTTTTTACACAGAGGGTAGTTCGCATGTGGAATGAACTTCCTGAGGAAGTGGTAGATGCGGATACAATTGCTACGTTTAAAAGACATCTGAATAAGTCCATGAATAGGAAACGTTTGGAGGGACATGGGCCAAGAGCAGGCAGGTGGGACTAGTTTAGTTTGGGATTATGTTCAGCATAGACTGGTTGGACTGAAGGTTCTGTTTCCATACTGTATGACTCTCTGACTCTGTAAGTGGGAAATAGAGTTGTGGGTTAAAGGTATTGAAATGTTTAATCAGCCATGATCATAGTGAAAGCAGGGCATCCTGAGCAGGCTGAATGGCTGACACTCGTTTCTATGTTCCTTGGAGTATCTGTCAGATAGGTCACCTTACTAACCTTTAACCTCACGTCCACGGGTTCAGCATGGAAAAGCAACAATACCAAAATTCATCACGTGCTTCAAACATTCTATATGTAGGAAATAGAATGTTTATCCACCTATTCTTTTTTCGTTTGTGAAATTTCAAAAGCTATTGTGGCACCCTACATGCTCTTGTGAGTCTTTCTAGAAACAAGGACATGTAATCCAACATTGAGGATTCATCGTTTGTGTTTCAAAAACTTCTCCCTTATTAATTTTAATTCTAATCTCATGACCAGAAATCACTTCAAATGGACTAAATCCAGTAGAAATTCTGAAATATAGAAAATATTAAGAAAGTAAATATTTTGTCCCTGGGTATTTGTAAAAGTATGTCCAAATCACAGTTTTGAGAGTCAGATGATACCACTTCAAAGTTCTCCGTGTTTGCAGAAGACATGCATTTGGCTTGATTCTTTTATATTCAAATTGCCGATGATGTCCTGGAAAAGGTTTGACATGAATAGTGATCAGATTGTATCTCAATTTGCAGTTCGTAATGAGTTTAAAAAAAAAACTTTTCCACTATTACCTTAGCTGCTATAGTCCGTATTTCATCGAGTTGTCATATCCATATAGTATGTATATACTGATAAACAGTTTTGTTTTTGGTATGCTCACTCACAATCTACTAACACCTGATTAAATAGTTCTTCAAAAACTGGCAAAGGTATTAAAGGTGCTCATTTAATTATATGTTGTTTTCCTCTTACCTGAAATGTATGACATGTTTTACAGAACTGCACTATATTTTTGTGGAAGTCTTGTAAAATAGCTGTTTATCAATGCTGTGTTTCTCATATACCCATAGAGAGAGTGGATGGTGGTAGAAGGTTGCTTTTCAGACTGGAGGCCTGTGACCAGTGGTGTGCCACAAAGATCCACTGCTTTTTGTCACTTATATAAATGATTTGAATGTGAATATTGGAGGTACAGTTAGTAAGTTTGGGAATGACACCAAAATAGGTGGTGTAGTGAAGAAGATTATCTCAGAGTACAACGTGACCTTCATCAAATGGGCCAATGGGCCGAGGAGTGGAAGATGGGGTTTCATTTAGGTAAATGTGAGGCATTGCATTTTTGTAAGGCAAACCAGATTAGGACTTAAGTTAATGGTAGAGCTCTGGGGAGTGCTGCTGAATAAAGAGACCTAGGGCTGCAGGTGCATCGTTCCTTGAAAGTGGAGTTGCAGGTAGACAGGGTGGCGAAGGTGATGTTTGGCATGCTTGCCTTCATTGGTCAGAACACTGAGAATATGAGTTGGGATGTCATGTTGTGGACATTGTGGAATAATAATAATCCATTAATTGAGGAAGGATGTAATTGCATTGGAGCAGTTCAGAGAAGGTTCACTAGATTAATTCCAGAGATGAAAGAGATGAAGATAGATTGAGCAGTTTAGGCCTATACTTACTAGAGTTTAGAAGGCTGAGAGATCTAATTGAGGTGTATACAATGCTAAAAGGGATTGACAAAATAGATCTCGAGAGGATGCCCCACAGAGGAAACCTTCTGTGTGAGACCTTACCAAAAGCCTTCCAAAAATCCGAAATTTAAGACCTCGAAAAATGTCAAATATCTGATTAGATTAGAATGATGTTAATTGTAATGAGCTAACTCGGATCAATAAGCGCAGCACACATCACTTGGGACTTCTTCGGTCTTTATGCTTCAATGGATAAACTCACTGTACATAAGTAACATAAGACATGCAGCCATTCTGTTTCTCACTACAGTCTACCTCAAGAATAAAAAACATAGGATAATCAATGCATTAAGGGTTGTGTCAATCTATTGTATACAATTATGTCTTGTAAAATAATCCTTCACATTCACCACATACATTACAGTTTACACAAAGCTCTGTTGAGAAGGAGTACACCAGGTTCATCATTTATCAGGATGAAATATTTACTTTCCAGCAGTACTACATCTATCAAAATGAGAATCTATCCTTTTTTACAGCATGGATTAATTTTAAAAATAGATTTGCACAGGTGATGGAATAATGAGACTTATCCTCAGAGTTCAAATATCTCTTACAAATAAGAGTACCTCTTGAGCACTTAAGACAAGAAGCTGTGAAGCAACAGGGATAAATTTAAAATAAAACTTCATTTACTTCTCAACATAAATATTTACTGCAGCCAATTTCAAATAATTTCATGGTCCATTATCAAAACGATGCAAGAAATACTTTAAGAATTAACTACAAATAGATGTTAAAAGAGTTACGATTGAATGTCAAATACTACATATATTCTGATAGTCTCCATATAAGGCTGCTTTCATGACAACAGGATATGAAGAAAATCCCATTTACTTGCGATAACAATAATCTTGAATTACTTTTCAATTTTCAAACTAATGATGAACATTGAGCAAATTCAGGTGTTTTACAGAAACAGTGCAATTGAAACCTGATGAACGTATTTACAATAATAAAGTCATTTCATTTCCATTCCAAAAGAAAGGGTGGACAATGAATTTCAGTTTTTTTAAAATCGCATGAAGTTATGAAGCAAAATGTTTATACTGGTGATTTCAGGTTCCTCGTTTCAACAGCTGAGGCATTTTACAATAATAGCACAGAAAATGATTCACTGTGGTTGAAATCTATGTTTCATAAGCCTACAGTCATTACTTTGAGTTTGTGTTTTGATTATTAGTCGACTGCCCAACACATTTATATCGAGGTTCTTTCATTGGGAAGATACATGTGAACAAGGAGCAGGAGCATGGTTGATCTGATTGAGGCCTCAACTGCACACGGTCATCTAAGTACAAACATCATTTATTCTCTTGTTAAGCAAGAATCTAATTACCTTTGCCTTAAAATTATCCCACCTCTTCACTTTCTGGGGAAAGTGTTTACAAAGACTGACAAACCTCAGATAGAAGTAAGTCCCTCCTCAACTAAAACTTAAATGGGACACCCCTTGTTTTGGAAATGTCCCTTTATTTTCTTTTTTGGGAAGGGACTAGAATTTTGTTTCAGCATCTACCCTGTCAAGTCCCCTTAGGATCCTCTATGTTTCGATAATATCACCTCTCATTCTTCTGAACTCAAATGGAGACAGGCCCAACCTATCCAATCTGTGCTAATAGGATAATGTTATCATTCCAGTAATTAGTCAGGCAAACTTTCTCTGAACCACTTCCAGCACATTTACCTGTTTTCTTAAATTGGAGACAACAACAGTATTCCAGATGTAGGCTCAACAATGTTCAATACAACTGGAGCAAAACATTCCTACTTTTATATTCAATTTTCCTTGCAGTAAACAAAAAAACGTGTGAACAAGTGTTACCAGTGATGGTGATGAAATTTCACCATTGTTTACATATTAAATTTTATTTGCTTGCATAAACATTAACTGAAATAATTACTTTTAATCTCAAAGTCCAGGATGAATTAAAATTACAGTAAACAACAGTAAGCATCAAGATGCCATGGTTTTTTTAGTACAAAATAATACCAATTTGTAATTAATTTTAATACAACAAAATCCATATCTAACTGCTTACTTTGGCTTCTCAATATTCAATAAAAAAAAGGATCATGAAATTCGTCATTATTTGAAACTTCCATGATCTTCTTAGAAAACCATGTAGAGAAGCACACAGTTCCATCATCCAATGCCAGGTTTCAGCAATCTATAGCCATTTTTCTGCAATAGGTGGCATTATTCCTTACTTTTTGTACAGTCAAATGGTTTCCACCAATGTGAGAACTGGAGCACTTTCTTCCTCTGATCATCAAAATTTTCTCTGATTTTTTTCTTCCAACGCCTTGGCTCCAGGTCTAACATGCCTCCAACTATTTCCTTCAAAGAAATTTTTAAAGGGTCAGTGTTTCTTCTGTGAACATTTCGGCATCCTAACCCAGTTGCATAACTTTTTTTGACAGTTTGGTCAAGGTCAACTTCTTCCCTCTCTTTTAAGACACAAAATGACAGTGTGCTTGGAGTTGACGTGCACTCCCCCCATTTACCAGTTAGAAAGTGATTAGTGCAATTTTAAATTTACCCTTTACAATGATTGTAATTTTAAAATATTATTAGCATTGAGGTCTCCTAATCTGTTTTTGTTAGCTTTGGTCTTTACAATTACATTGCCTTCATTTGCTCGACTAACTCATGCTTTCAGATTCAACGTGCTCATGAACAGCTTGCACATACGTCCAGTTGTTTAGCAATGGCAGCATATCGCCCAGATATCTTGGATCACATTCACTGACAAAAATCTCTCTTCCTTGAAGAACAGTGTGACACAAATAGATGAAACAATACCTAACGAGTGAAGGACAGGCAAAATTGTATGCCCTCATCTCCATGGATGTGATGGTGCTTACAATCGTGACCAGATGCAGGGCTGAAACCTGTTTATACCTAATACATTTTTTCAAATTGCATTTCCACCACAGCCACAGATGGTATAGGCATTCAATTCATAGACATTTACAGCCCAGCAGGAGACCATTTGGCCCATCATGTTTACTTGTAGCTACAGTCTAATCACTGACAAATTACAATCTTTTGTTTAGTTGAAAACCTTGGGATACATCTCATCTAGGGAAACATGCCCCCTAATTTACTTCTAAGGTCTGTGCATGGCAGAGTTTTTGGATGCAGAAGCCAATGCACTGGCACTCCAATCAGCATGCACAGAACCTCCCAGTGAGTGGAACTAAGGGCACTGTCTAATAACAAATGATCGCCCTTTCAAGGCAGAGATGAGGCAAAGACCGCATTTAAAATTTACTCATTTTTGGATAGTGGACTAGAACAGCAAAGTACTGCTTTAAATCAAAGAGGCTTTGCAAAGAGATGGATACAGTTTTAAAAATCATCATTACTCAAGCACTTTGTAAATTATACACAATGCTGCGATTTTCTTGGAACAGTGAGAGCAGAAGCAGACATCACAGAGTTAATGGATTCTGAACTAAAGGACAACAGGTTGACAACATTTTGACTGGCTCCTAAATAGGTGACCATGGTTTGTGTGGTTCTGGTGCAGCCGAGAATCACCTGCTGGCAAAGCGAAAGCATTAAAAACTCTCTTGCATGGAGGTACCAGAAAGTTAACAGTAAGAACTGAAAGAACTGTGGATGCTGTAAATCATAAACAAAAAAATAAATTGTTGGAAAAGCTCAGCAGGTCTGGCAGCATCTGTGGAGACAAATCAGAGTTAACATTTCAGGTCGAGTGACCCTCAGAACTTGGTTACCAGTAGTAGCCAGCTGTCTTCCACTCACCTTACCCTGCAAAACTCTTGCTGAAGGAGGAATAAAACAACTTCAAAGACTGTGAAAGGATGAATTCTCAAACAATAAAAGAGAGCACTGTCGTGCAAATAACCTTGTGACACTAGTAAATGATTAAAACGACGGCTGCATCTTCAGACACTGCTGAAAGGTTTACATTGCACATGCACACGTTTCTGCTCATGTTCCCTTTGTGAAAAAGGCTGCCAATCATAAAACACAGCAGTGACCAAATAAGCACAATAGATATCAGCAATCGGAATGGTCAGCAGACAGAATGGCAAGCTTGCAATTCATATTTCCTTTTTGCCATCAGCTTAAAACAATTTGTTCATATGAAACTACTATTTTCCTGTTAAGTACAAAAACTTGGTCAGAGTTTTCTTTCAACCAAAGTTTCTCACTCAAATAAATTGGGAACTTTGGATAGTTTGTCAAAATCTGTTCACATTTGTGACCACTCTGACAAAATGGGGTTTGATTTTCAGTGCACCTACCTCAATGAGTTGTGACAATGAGGAGAGTTTTTATTCCTCTCAGAGGGTCATGAGTCTTTGGGACTCAACAGACACTGGAAGCAGAGCTTTTATAGAGTCATAGAGACATACAGCATGGAAACAGACCCTTCAGTCCAACCAGTCCACACCAAACATGTTCCCAAACTAAACTAATCCCACTTGCCTGCATCTGGCCCTTATCCCTCCAAACCCTTCCTATTCATGAACTTACCCAAATGTCTTTTAAATGTTGTTACTCTACCTGCATCCACCACTTTCTCTGGCAGTTCATCCCACACAAAACCACTCGCTGTGTGAAAAAGTTTCCCCTAATGTCCTTTTTAAATCTTTCTCCTCTCACCTGGAAAATATCCCCTGTAGTTTTGAACTCCCCTACCCAAGGGAAAAAACCCTCGTCATTCACCTTATCTATGCCTCTCATGATTTTATAAGCCACTATAAGGTCATCCCCAAACCTATGCTCTGGTGAAAAAAGTCCCAGCCTTTCCAGTCTATTTTTATATCTCATACCCTGAATTCTGGCAACATCCTGGTAAATCTATTCTGAACCCTCTCCAGTTTCATATTATCCTTCCTATAGCAGGGTGACCAGAACAGCACGCAATACTCCAGGCAAAGACAAATAGATTCTTGATAAGCAAGAGTTGGAAGGTTATTAGAGATAGGTGGTTATCTCATGGCACGACAGTGTGCCAAATATGAAAGCACACCAGTATGCAGGGATTCACAACCTGTTTACCCTCAAGCAACACTACTGGTTTGGTCATATGCACCAAATAGTTGATGATTGTATTCCCAAAGATGTGCTCTACGGCAAGCTTGCTTTTGACACAAGACCAGGACACACGTCTGCAAGTGAGACCTCAAGTTGACTGAGATTGGAGTTGACGCATGGGAAGTCCTTGCTGTTTATTGGAGTACCTAGAGACAAGCGGTCAGGAAGGTGTAAAGAAAACAAAGGACAAAAGAAATTACCAGAGGATAGAAAAGAGAGCTCTGCAGAAGAGAAAACCAACTCTGACCATCATTATTCATCTGTGTCAGCTTAGAAGACACCACCACTCACGAATTGGCTCCTATAGTTACAACTAAATATGGTCAATCCAGAAGTGACAAAATAGATGACTACGATGAAGAAGCAGCCTGTAAGAAAAGTCGAGATCTCCTGGTAACCCAATCATCATGCTTCATACTGCCCAACATAACAAGAATGAGAATTTACTATTTGAAAGAAAAATTCAATATACTATAATTAGCATGCCATCTGGAGAATCAATAAATTTAAAATTTTGTGAGTTTTTATACCGATTCAATGTTTGCCAAGATGATCCACGGGAGCATCAAATTCATTATTTTTATAATCAAGCTCATGGTTACACAAAGTTACCAGCAAATAGGGATTACCTTTCCAAAATAAATAGGAAACTTTTCTTCATCTTCAATGACATGAGCAAATCCCCCTTGTAGACCAAAATCCACAGAAAAATAAGGGAGACCTTTAGGAATCTGAAAGAAAGCAATCATTAATTTTGATGTGTTTTTTTAAATGTATTATTGATTTTGCAGCATATTATTGCCTGCATCTGAATGAAAACAATTTTGGCACTAGCCCCCAGATGTTAGGAAGGAGGCCTTTGAAGGTTCAACAGGGTTGATTCTGCTGTAGTCTTTTCTGGTGCCTTGTTCAATGCCAGATGGTCCGTCCAGTTTCATTTCTTTGTTAAAACTTCACAGCAATTGTTACATCTATGTGGCTTGCTGCGCTATTTCAGAGGGCAGTAGAGAGTCAACCACATAGCTGTGGGTTTCGAATCATGCGTAGGCCAGGCCAGGTGAGGACGGAGCTGAAGGAGATTAGTAAACCAGATGGGTTTTTGCAACAGTCGACAGTGATTTCATGTCATTATGAGTCTTAATTTCAGATATTTATTGAAATCACATTCCACAATCTGCCATGGTGGGAGTTTAACGCAGATCCCCAGAAAATAAGAAATAAAAACCGAAAGGACTGCAGATTTTGTAAATCAGAGACAAAAATAGAAAGTGCTCAGTAGGTCTGGCCGCATTTGTGACGAGGAATCAGAGTTAACATTTTGGGTCAAGTGACCCTTCCTCAGAACTCGACCCAAAACATTAACTCTGATTTCTCTCCACAGATGCTGCTAGATCTGAAGAGCTTTTTCAGCAATTTCTATTTTTGTCCCCAGAAGATTCCTTGAGTTTCTGGATTAATAGTCTAGCACCCTTTCCAAGTTGGAGGATCCATCTCAACTTCCTTCAGAGGTCCCTGGCATCAATGTGCACCATTTACAAGACGTACTCCAGAAATTCCCTCAAGGTTCTTCAAACAACACATTCTAAACCCACAACAACTTCCATCCAAAAGGACAAAGGCAATAGATACATGCGAACATCACTTCCTTCAAGTTCACCTCCAAGCCACTCAGCATCCTGACATGGAAAAATATTGCTGTCCCTTAATGTCACTGGGTCAAAATCCTGAAACTCCTTCCCTAACAGCATTGTGGACCTACCTACAGTACATGGACTGCAACGTATCAAGACAGCAGCCCAACACATCCATCTGAAATCTAAGGAAAGGCATTAAATGCTGGCTAAGTGAACAATGGTCACTTTAAATTCCAGGAATGAATTTTAAAAATTAGCAGAGACTTAACCATGCACAAGTAGAAGTTAAGAACGAGATACAATAATTTCATCTTGTGAAAGAAATAATTTCTCTGACATCTAATATTAATGTTAATCTTTGGAAAAGTTGTGCATTGTTTAAACATGTGCAATATCCCATTGCTACATTTGATTATGTATTATACTTACATGAACATGCTAATTTACCATCACAAGTGTGTCCTTAAACATAAGTACAGCAAACTTTGTTTTAAATAGCACTTTATCAGCCAGCACATTTGATAAACAATCAAAAACGATACACCTCAAATACCACGATGTCTGAGCATTTATGCTGTAAATAAAGCACAACAGTGGTGTGTGTATAATGCTGCATTAAGTTTCTATCATTTACTAGGTATTTTTATGTAGATTTTTAGCAGGTGAGTTGATATTTTTACATAGATTTTTTCAGGGATGCTGATGTCTTTAAGCCTCACTTGGTCAGTGTTTACTGACGTTATCTGTGCCCCTTGATTATCCAGAATATTTGAAAAACTGGCTCACAGATACTAGTTAATAAACATTTTGTTGTATTTGAAGAATTTCTAAAATAACAGAAATAATTACTTACAGCTCTGCGGATATTCCTTGTGGAAAGATCAACTAGCTTCTTGTTAATGGCCCACTCTTCATCAGCCTCCATGATCGCTTTCTTTCATAAATTACACAATTGGTATTTTGAACACATTAAATAAGGAGGGCATGTTTGTGATAGGAAAAAAAATCTACATTTATGAAATGCAATTAAAAAGCAAAGAACAAATTAAATGCAATTTGATAGTATAAAAACAATGTATTTACAAGCACAAAGTCAACAACTATATTATGATACCATATGCTGAAAATTAAATGATAAATTATGATCTATATGTTGGCAAGTTTCTAAGCTACAAGAAAATTGATGGTGTTCTCCTTGGTATCTAGGAAGATTATTGAACATAAGGTGCAAAGTAGCCATTTGACCTTCTAAATCCTGATACACTGAAGTTTAATTTGTAAAATAATGTCTAACGTTATTTCAATGGAAAAATATTTTGTCAAACAACCACCAGTATTATTTATCAATATTTATATTTGGCAGTTATTTCAAAGGGAAAAGTACTTTTGCTTCAAAGCTACTAGATTTGTAACAGTTTAGCATGTTACTTAGCTTAGATCAAATTTAAAAAACGTGCTGTACAGGTAATCACAAAAATCAAACATTTATATGGAGATTATTTCAAAAACGGTTTAACTCTTTAGCATCAGCAGTATTTTGCTTTTATTACAGAAGTTCATTTTTAGGCTTGTTTTTAATAACACAATAGAAAATACAAAACAATCCCTTTGACGAAGAAAATCAGTGAGATCATTTGAAGTTATTAAAAGGAGAATATTACTGTAGGTAAGAATAGTTTTATTACAAATTGTCTCTCACATTTAGGTTTCCCACATTAATTTTAATTTGTTGCCGCACCTCTATGAACACCAAACATGTCAAGTATATATGACTGTAGATAACAGCTTAACTGTCATCAAAACTGGCTTTAAAATGATATGAGTAGTGATCACAGCCAAAGTCCAGAATAGTAATGATGGTGAAGTAGCATTTAGCATTATTTTTTCTTCACAATAGAGGCAGGGTAAGATTTCAGGTGTAGATCCTTAAATGAAAATTGGGTCCAGATCTTTCAATAAGATAATTCATTGCAGCAGCATAGACGCGAGTTGTGCATCGGGATCATTGATGTCCTGAAACAGCCAACTCTGTGGAATCACATGGGAAGTTGAAACATCTGATGGGCAACTGCCCAGCATCTGGATCCCTTAGAAAAGGTTTCCAACTCCAAGTCAGAAAGTGACAACTCACTTAGCAAGGAAGCGTTAGAGGATTTAAAACCTACTCCAACCATCTGGCTAACCACAAAAGTGACCCCTAATTCACAACTCTCTACTATGCAACTACCTGAACATAAGGGACTTCTGCCACCAGTCCAACCCCACCAAACCCTACCATCCATGGCCCAAATACCCATCTCTGATCCCCACAACCCTGTTCCCAACTGGTCCCATCCTGACAGCCCCAACACTCTCCTCTGGTCTGACTGCTCCCCTGACTTATCCTAATTCCTCACCCATTTATCTGCCACACTACTCCCCACCCACCAAACACCCTAACCCTGTCTGGCAACACACACAGACACAGACACAGACACACGCAACCCTACTCCAGTCAGCCAGCCAGCACCCTACCTTTTTGCCAACTAGGCACACTACGGTCCATCTTCCACCTATATTACTGATTACATTCTTTCAGTAGCTGTCAAAGCATCTTTATGAACTTGATACATGGAATGCTGCAACTACTGGTGCAAAAGGGAATATGGTTTCAGCACCAATCTTCTCGACTGCTACCTGTGTAAATCTCTGAGCTAGACATCTGGGAAGTCAAGAACCTTCTGAGCAGCTCTACAGAATATAAATGAACAACTCACCCCTTCAATTTCTCACTAAGAAAATCTCAATACAGTTAACCCCACTAAGACTTGGTAGAACATGAAGTGGAAAACAGTGGGAAGAGCAGCCCTCACTCTCTCTTAACAAATGTTACTTTTTTCTAAAACAACATTTCCTAAATGTGAAAGACTGGAATAATTACCAAATGAGACCAAGGTAGAACAAAATATTTTGCAAATTACTACGTTAAGGTATTTGATTAAGATACCAAGGTATTATATTAAAATATTTGCAAATATCATTCAGCTTGAAGAATCAATGAATAAGTTAGTCTTGAAACTGAAACATATTTCTGAAATTCTTAACATTCTATGTCAAAAGAAGAATTCAATGGAATATAGGGACAATTAGCCACTTGGATACAGTACTGGCTTGAAGGTAGAAGATAGAAGGTGGTGGTGGAGGGTTGCTTTTCACACTGAAGGCCTGAGATCCATGGCATGCCGGGTCCGCTGCATTTTTCCCCAATGCAATTTAATGATTGGATGTGAACATAGGAGGTATGGTCAGTAATTTGCAATGACACCAAAATTGGTGGTGTAGTGGACAACCAAGAAGGTTACCTCAGAGTATAACAAGATCTTGATCAGATAGGCCAGTGGGTCAAGGAGTGGCAGATGGAGTTTAAATTAGATAAATATGAGGTGCTGCATTTTGGAAAGGCAAATCAGGGCAGGACGAATACACTAATACACTTAAGGCAAGGTCCTGGAGTGTTTTGCTGAACAAAGAGTCCTTAGGGTTCAGGTTCACAGTTCCTTGAAAGTAGAGACAGGATAGTGAAGGCGGCATTTGGTATGCTTACCTTTATTGGTCAGTGCATTGAGTACAGAAGTTGGGAGGTCATCTTGTGGCTGTACAGGACATTAGTTAAGCCACTTTTGGAATACTGTGTGCAGGTCTGGTCTCCCTGCTACAGAAAGGATGTTGTGAAAGTTAAAGGTGTTAAGAAAAGATTTACAAGGATGTTGCCAGGGTTACAGCTATAGGGGAGAGGCTGAATAGGCTGGGGCTATCTTTTCTTACGGCATTGGAGGCTGAGGGGTGACCTGATAAAAGTTTATCAAATCATGAGGAGCATAGACAGGGTGAATAGCCAAGGTCTTTTCCCCCAGGTAGCAGAGTCCAAAACTAGAGGGCATAGGTTTAAGGTGAGAGGGGAAAGATTTAAAAGGCAACTAACGGGCAACTTTTTCATGCAGAGGTGCGTATATAGAATGGGCTGCCAGAGGAAGTGGTGGAGGCTGGTACAATTACAACACTTAAAACGCATCTGGATGGGTATATGAATTGGAAGGATTTAGAGGGATATGGGCCCAATGCTGGCAAATGGAACTAGAGTAATTTAGGATATCTGGTTGGCATGGGCGACTTGGATCGAAGGGTCTGTTTCCACACTGTACAGCTCTATGACTATGACTATTCCTACTATTTCTGTTCACATAGAGGTCGCACCTTAAAGTAGATAGGAGCCATGTCTCCCACTTCCTTTGGTACAGGAATGCATTCATAGACCATATGAAAGCGTTTCTTTAAATGCATATTGGTCTCAAAAAAGAGACAGTCGAGTCCTTTGTCTTCTAACATTTTCACCAAAGCTTTTCGAAACAGCTGTCAAAAAGATATACAATTTAGTTCTGTGCCCTGACAGAGGAAACAAATCACTTTTAAAACCATCAGAAAACACAGAACTGTATTAGACCCAGGCTAATCTATTACAAAAAAAATTAACCAGGCTTCACTTTGGTCAGGGAAGGAAATATTAACCAATTTACCCCATTCATACTTGATGTCAGAAAGTCTAAACATTTTTGAATGCCATCAGTTATTTTTATGCAGCGTGGGAGCTTTTTATCTTATTACATTTCTTTCAGTCTGCCTGATCTCTGCTTTTCTTTGTATTTGTTTAAGGGCTATAATTTTCATATCTCACTAGACCCCCACTAGGAGCAGGAAGGCATGCTATTCACCCATATACAGGCCTAATGCCCCTTAATGAGGTGACCATAGTATCTCCATCTCCCAATCTCCTACAGTAAAAGCATCAATTTTCAAATCGATACCTCAGAGCGCAAGAAGTTTTTCAACAGATTCCAAGATACAATAGAATAGGATGACACAGAGGAAGTAACTCAATTACAATGACACCAACTGCAAACTGGAGGAGCAGCACCTCATACTTCGCCTTGGGAGCCTACAGCCCAACGGTCTAAACATGGATTTCACCAGTTTTAAAAACTCCCCACCCATGGCCTCATCCCATGTCCAACCCTCCCTCTGATCCCCACCTTCTTGACCTGACACAACGTCCATCTTCTCTCCCACCTATCTGCTCCTCCCACCTCACTGACCAAGCCCCACCACTCCCTAGCTGCACTCACCTATCACCATCTCACCTATGTTCCCCAGCCCCACCCCTTCTCCCTCTATTTATTTCTGAGCTCCCATCCCCCTCCCTATTTCTGAAGAAGGGTCCCACCCGAAATGTCAACTTTCCTGCTCCTCTGATGCTGCCTGACCTGCTATGTTCCTGCAGCTCCACACTGTGTTATCACAGTCTATCACCATTTCTTTTGAGGAACAGTCTATTTAAGTTCAACCCCTCATCTTTTACCACATATTGCTACAATTTTCTTCTCCTACAGTGGAGATGTAGAGCATAACTGCCTTGCCTCTATTTATAGAGCCCAGAATACCATATGCCTTGTTAACTGTTTTGTTAACTTGTTCTGCCAACCTGGTCCTTCCCTCTTCTTACACCACTTTTAAAACTTTACCATTCAGAACACAGTATCTTTGATTTTATTTATTATTGTCACATGTACCTAGATACTGTGAAAAGCTTTGTTTTGCATGCAGTACAGGCAGACCGTAACATACCATACAAAGTGCATAAAGGTAATAGGACGGAGTGAAGAATACGATGTTACAGCCACAGAGAAGGTGCACAAAGAGTGAGATCAACATTAAATTTAAAGTTTTAAAGGTCCATCCAGAAGTCTAACAACAGCAGGGAAGAAGCTGTTCTTGATTTTGTTGGTACGTGGGCTTTTGTATCTTCTGCCCGATGCAAGAGGTTGGAAGAGATCATAACAGCGCTGGGAGAGGTCTTTGATTATGTTGGCTGCCTTCCCGAGGCAGCCAGAAGCACAGATGGAGTCAACGGATGGAAGGTCGGCTTGCCTGAAGATGGGTCACTGGACCCGAAACATTAACTCTGCTTTCTCTCCACAGGTGCTGCCAGACCTGCTGAGTTTTTCCAGCAATTTCTGTTTTTGTTTCCAGCATCTACAGTTCTTTCATTTTTTGAAAAGAAAGTAGCTCTGTTTGCTTGACAGTTAATGCCCCACCAATGGATATGTACACCTGAAACTGAAGCTGTGTAATGGTCGGGAATTCTGCCTTTGTTTGAATGCTCTATTGTCCAAAGCTGTTGTCCAGTTCATTTAGTATTCCAGATATCAGCCACAAGGTACTGGAATTTTGCTTGCAGATGGCCACTGATGTTACCATGGTGTGAGTTTGCCCCTAAAATGGGGCTTTATCTGATGTTGTGATACTTAGGTTATCTCCCATAGCATTAGAAACTGGATATGGACATTATGATATTGTAGATCCCACAAACATTCATGACAACTAACCATTATGTACAAACGTTACATTCCTCTGACACATATGTGTTTTGGGTAATAATAAGCTATTAGTTTACAACATAGGAGCATGCTTGCAGTAGTTCATCACACTTCAAGTGATCTGTGGTAAGATGGAGTTTTAGATTTTTGTACACTCAGGTCACAGTCTACTATACAGTGACGATATCATGAGCATGTAACTTAAAATACAGGTACCTTGACTATATGATATTAAGCAAAACTGTCAGTTTTCTATCCCTGAGCTAATTTAGATCTATGCTGTATCAGGTGAAAGGTCACAAACCTGAACAGGCAACTGTGTCTCTTTCCACAGATGTTGTCAGACCTGCTGAGTATTTTGAGGATTCTGTTTTTATTTAGACAAACAAAATTTGTCTTCAACAATCTCTCTTTGTGTATATTTGTTGAATTAGGTGGTAATTTTCTCCTGTATTATTGTTTCTAGAAGCACTCCTGATACCAATGCTGAACTGACTGGCCTGCATTGTCTGGTTATTCCTTCTTCCCTCCTGTAAACAAGAATGTGATATTTTTTGCTATACTCTAGTCCTTAAGCACAACCACTGTACCTAAGGAGGATTTGAAGATTGTGGCCAGCATCTCCAAGATCTGTAAGCTTACTTTTCACAGCAACTAGAAAACATCCCAACCAGAGATAACAAGGTGTAGAGGTGGATGAACACAGCAGGCCAAGCAGCATCATAGGAGCAGAAAGGCTGACGTTTTGGGCCTAGACCCTTCATCAGAAATGGGGGAGGGGAAGGGGGTTCTGATATAAATAGGGAGAGAGGGGGAGGCGGATTGAAGGTGGATAGAGGAGAGGAAACAGACAGGTTGAAGAGGCAGGGATTGAGCCAGTATAGGTGAGTGTAGGTGGGGAGTTAGGGAGGGGATAGGTCAGTCCAGGGAGGACGGACAGGTCAAGGGGGCGGGATGAGGTTAGTAGGTAGGAGATGGGGGTGCGGCTTGAGGTGGGAGGAGGGGATAGGTGGGAGGAAAAACAGGTTAGGGAGGCGGGGACGAGCTGGACTGGTTTTGGGATGCGGTAGGGGGAGGGGAGATTTTGAAACTTGTGAAATAAACAACTGCACCTCCCAGTCGCGAACCATTTCAACTCCCCCTCCCATTCCTCAGACGACATGTCCATCCTGGGCCTCCTGCAGTGCCACAACGATGCCACCCGAAGGTTGCAGGAACAGCAACTCATAGTCCGCTTGGGAACCCTGAAGCCCAATGGTATCAATGTGGATTTCACAAGCTTCAAAATCTCCCCTCCCCCTACCGCATCCCAAAACCAGTCCAGCTCGTCCCTGCCTCCCTAACCTGTTCTTCTTCCCACCTATCCCCTCCTCCCACCTCAAGCCGCACCCCCATCTCCTACCTACTAACCTCATCCCGCCCCCTTGACCTGTCCGTCCTCCCTGGACTGACCTATCCCCTCCCTAACTCCCCACCTACACTCACCTTTACTGGCTCCATCCCCGCCTCTTCGACCTGTCTGTTTCCTCTCCACCTATCCTCTCCTCTATCCATCTTCTATCCGCCTCCCCCTCTCTCCCTATTTATTTCAGAACCCCCTTCCCCTCCCCT